TACAAATTCCCATCCCTAATATATATATATATATATATATATATATATATATATATATATATATATATATATATATATATATATATATAAAATACAATATCAAAAATATCAAATAAGTTTTAATTACTTTACATCAACTTTATTTTGAAAGGCAGGATAACCAACAAATTAAACAACTTTTTAATCCCACACAAGCAATTAAGAGGCTGATTCCTCTGTGCACCATGTAGAAGAAGGGACACTTGTAACAATATGTTGTCCCCCTCCCCCTTTCATATATAAGTACAGCCAAGATATTTTTTTCTTGGGGAAAATTGGCTCTGGGGGAAATCGCACTCTATAACTAATTGAATATAATGTGGATTTCCATTGGGGAAATCCTACTCTAGAGTCATTTTTCCGTCGGGGAAATCATACTCTAGAGTCTATTTTCCGGGGATGGGGGTTCAACCAAATTGAAAAAAGTGAAGATAACTGGATCCAACTCAACTCAAATTCTTAAAAACGATACTAATTTGTGAACAGGGCATATTTGCAATGTCATTATAATGACCATAAAAATTTTCGAAATGCGGACTTTAACAACCTTGTTGAAATCCCTGTAACATTTATTTTTTTTTTTGTAAGTAGCCCGCCTCTCAAAGCATGTTATTGTGTATCAAACATGTTAGGTACTATTACCTTTAGTAATAGGTAAGCTATATATAGCAATATATATATAACATATATATATATATATATATAGTGTTATCACTATGTTACCATAGTGATAGTAGAATATTACTTTATAAAGTAAAAAGTTACTTTTCAACACATTATACAACCGTTCCCCACGATAAATTAAAGACCAGACTATTAACTGCTTCCTTATTTAAAAGAACAGAACTCGTTAATTTTCCTTTCCTGTCACTGTCGTCTGCAAACCTCCTTTGCAAAATCCATTCTGATTCATCACACTGGTACTCTAAAGTTGATATTAAAATGATACTTGATTTCCTTATTGACAACACCTGTATAGTCACTGGAGATCAGATTTTTCAACAATCTGTTAGAATTTCCATTGGTACTAATTGTAACCCATTATTTGCAGACCTTTTGTATTCTGAGGAAGCATTTATTCAAACACTCTTACTTGAAAAAAAGGCTTTTGCTGTGGCTTTCAATTCGACATTTAGATATATCGATGACTTTTTACCAATTAACAATACTGAAGTTCATTCACACATTAATTCGATATTTCTCCTTGATTTTCGAAATATAAGATACCAAGGAATCTTGCTCATCTGCTTAGATATTTTACCAGAGAAAGACATTGACGGTAAACTAACAACTGTGACCTCAACTTTTCTATCGCCAACTTCTCTTATTCATTTAGCATTACATGTATACCATTATCACCTGCATATTGTGTCTCCCACTTGATTCGATATACAAAGGTACTTTCTTAGTACGCACAATTTCTAAAACGAGACAGACTACTGACAAATAACGGTAAGTTGATGATACTAGGGTATCTACTATCTTATTTAATTCAGTATTTCGCAAATTCTATGGTCGATACAATGACCTTGCTTACAAATACAATCTGTCGCTTACAAATACAATCTGTCGTTAAATCGAATGTTGATTGACGTCTTTTATACGATTTGTCAGACCATTATTTTCATACTGAATTGACTACAGATTTCTGCCTTTACGTGCCAAAGGACACGCGGCATGTTTAACCGGTAGACAAGGGAGGCTTACTCCTCATCCCACCTCTGATGTTTTCAGAAGTCCGTGTTTGCTCTGTTCCCAATTTGAACTGTTTATTGAACTTTTCAGCATGACTACTTTACTGTGACCTCAACTTTTCTATCGCCAACTTCTCTTATTCATTTAGCATTACATGAAGAATGTGTTTCCTAAGTCCTGACTAAAAAATATGCTATGAGACATAAATATGGAAAACATATTTACAAATGACATTCCGCATCAGTACCATCACTTTCTAAGATTAGTAAGCCAAGTATGATACAGAAATTGTCTTTGTATAACTAATAACTGTGACATATAACTATATACAAAACGTGTAAAGCAATCCGCACCAATACCGTCACCGAGAGAGGTCAGCCAAGTATCTTAACGGAAAGCATATACTATTTACATACAGCAATCCGCACTGATATCATCACTGAGAATGGTCAGCCAGGTATCTAACGGAAAGCATAGGCTATATACATGTACATAAGGCGATATACCGTCACTGAGAAATATCCGTTAGGTATATCCAACGGAAAGCATATGTTGCATGTTAACACCAGTCCTGGTTAAAGTATTCATAGACATCCAAGGACATGCAACAGAGTCGATCACTGCAAAATTATGACTTAAACTTCCTGAATATGCTTCACCCAGATTTGACCTAAATATACTAATTAAAGCCTAAGTATTCCTTAATGAAGAGCGTTACTATGTGACTACAATACAGTACTTGTAATCAACATTAATTTTAATCTGCTGCCTTTTGCAAGAGCAATAAGTAAGGATATCCACTGTTTAACTTGAGGTGCACAACTAAGAACTTCTTAATTAAATAATATTTACTGTTCTTTTGTTGCTAATTCATCTTACTAAATTCTCAAGAGCTATAAATATAAATTTACCACTTACTAACTCCTCTATGAGAACATTAGATACAAGATGATGTCCGTAAACTATATTCAGATTTCACTAGCATACTCAGTATTGTACATTAAATTAAAAGTCTACTTTCATTTTCTATAAACAGCCATGAAATAGCAAAAACGTGAGTATGGTGGCGGTTCCGGTTGACGGATCTAAGTTACTGTCAATTTTTAATGAAACTAACAAAAATCAATCGTTTATTTATTTCATAAACATCATCACTGAATTATTCAATCAAAACTTGATTTAAATGATATAAAAGAAACAAGTTGTGGTAACCGATTAAAAAGGCGGAAATGTGCAAATTATTTTCGTCATTCACCGATCTTAATATTGATGGAAACTTTTGCTCTCAGTTAGGAATACACATATTTTACCGATAAATTTATCAGGAAAACCTACTAATAGTCTTCCGATATAAAAATATATTCTTATTGTGTTATCAATGATTACCATTTCAATGACCATTCACACAAAAGCTTTTTTTTATGTTCATGCAGCTATAATCGCTTCGTTTTTTTTTTCTTTTTACCATCGGGCTCGATGATATGATGTTTTAACCTGAAGTACAATTTGTACTTGGTAATAAATTAGCTTACATAAAAAAAAGAGAAAATTAATCATTAAGGTATTGTTCAAATACAATTAAAGCTGTTAAAATTTTGTGCTTTAATCAATACATTTCAGTTTTTCTTTCTTTCTGAATACAGTCTTTTGTATTAAATAATCGGCCTATTCTTAGGGCGTTAAAAGCAAATGTTAAAAAAGGAGCTAGAGAGATTTCAATTTATCATTAAAATGTGCTTATTCGCTGCTCTTATCCTTGACGGAAATGAAATAAGAACGACTGATGTACAATATCCATAACATACTATAACATGTTTCACAATAAACGTCAATTAATGAAATTGTTATTTTCAAGTTTTTACAAAAAAGGGGGGTGACGTACATCTACTTCTGCTCCAAAGCTTAATGCGGGATTTTGAACAAAGTATTTCTTCCTGCTATAAGCCTGTAGGCTGTCAGTAGAAACTACAATATACATTATTGGAATTTTTCTGTCGGTAGTGGTATAAATTCAATTCCCCGCGCTTGCGCGGGATTTTATCTATAGTTAGTTATAATGTGAGTGACTGTTAGGTGATACTGTGTTCAATTACTGACATATGATGCAAATTAGTTCCTCTAAATCTATTGTTTAAATGTTACACATGCAATCATACTAACTCGTAGATTACTGCAAAATTAGAAAAAAGATTACTGCATAAAGATCTACAACCTACTATCTATCTATCTATCTCTCTATCTATCTATATATCTGCAATATTTTCCCTCCCTTTTATTTTCAAAAAAAAGAGAAGTAGTAATAATAGCTACCTGTTCTCAGTTATAAAAAAATTAGTAATACTAGAATTTATCTGGTGTAGATTGTGCATAACTACACAAGTGTATTAAAGACTTAAATCATTCAAAAATTATTGTGCAGACAAATCCATTAGTAACTTCACTAAACACTAATAACTAAAGAGACAACACTGCAAGTTTTAGTTAGCTTAGAACATGCACTTGGTTATAACAAATATTAGAATGTACTACATGTAAATTAGTTAACTAAGTTTAACTACCAGAGTTAACTACCATTTCTAATTTAAATGCTAGGTGCTTGAATAAATTAAAGGCGAATAAGGTTAGATTGCAGTAAAAACTAATGTTATTGACACTACTGTCTAGGTACTAATTAAATATTAAAAATGATTAGATTACTAATCTTAATTGATATAAAATGTAGATTAACTCTTAACTTTCCTTCTCTTTTCTTTCTTGAAAATTGAGGGATACATTCTATCCTTGCTTAGTTTTTTATCTAAATAAAACCAACTATGTTTACCAAAATAGAAACAATGCTAACTAAAGTCTGGTAAGTAATAAAACTTGGTAAGTAAACTCTGAGTAAAAGCATTCAAGGATTTTTAGCAAATGATCTACATAATTTCACTGAGCCAAGGCACAGTCTAACATTTGTTTTCAAGTGGCAGCCCAGATGGAAAACACACACTGGAAGGCACAAACAAGGAGTTCTCTGTAAATAAAAGACACTTCCTTGTTGCCATCTTTGCTGTCACTTTCAGTGGCGGTGTCATGATACACAGCTGTTGCTGGTACAAACAATACTCTACAATCAGCATTCAATACTTCTTCACCAATCTCTTCTTTACTCTTTTGTTTCTCATCATGGATTGGTGATTCTAATAATGAAGAGCTTGCTTTTTCCTTTTGGTCTGTAACCAGCTCTTTGTAGGAGGGCTTCTGTAAGCTATCCATTGTCTGAGCATTTACAACTGACTCATTGCTATGCTCAGGCAAACATCACTCCTAGAAGGCTGTGTATCCAAAGTCAGGTCCAGTGTTTGTTTGCACTTGGATGTTGTATCAGTATCTGGAGTTGTTTGGCAACCAGCAGTTGAATGCTCAGTACTCGGTGGTCCTAACTCAACAGAACTGTCTTCTGAGTCATCTCTGTCCTGCATATCTTCTGTCTTTGAAATTCCAGAAACAAGGAGACCTGTGTGTGACACCAAGGTATTCCACTGCATACCAGCAGGTGAAATTTCACCACTCAGTATTTGTGGAAAACCTGGTGGACTCTTTCTGGGAACTGTGGGCATCTGCTGCTGATGGTGTAATGTTGCAGGCAGGTCAGATGCATAGCTGCTGAAATCTCCAGGTCTCATCAGTCTTGAACCCATCTCTTTGTTCCTGGTCCTGGGAGTTGTCTGGAATTTCATTTATTGACATATTATTGACTCTGTACAGCTCCTCAATCTTGTGAGTGGGTCACTGTTGGTGGCATTGGTGGCCCTCCATACATGCAGGTTTGGGGGTAATTGCTGTTGAGGTGCCATGTATCCCGGTGGGAACGTTCCGTAATATGGGCCATATGCATATGGTATGCTGGAACATGGCTGTGGTGGTCCAAAGAATGGCTGTGGGTATGGTCCACCATATCCAGGAAATTGTACATTGTAGTTCCCAGGAACGGGTGTGCAAGAATAAGGATACCCCATTTGGCCCTGGTTGAATGAGTAGGTATGATCCATAATAGCTGGATTCATCTTGTTGTTTTCAGTAGTTCAAAGTTACGGAAATAATCACGCCGTTTGACACTACTGAAACATTCAGTCATAGAATGTGTGTTTAGTACGTTTGTTACAACGCACTTTGAAAAATTACGCACTTTGATTTTTTTTCAAAGTGCGTTAAAATTGGGACCAAGTATAGGTCAAAATTTGTAGCCCTCCACCGGCAAGTGGTGGCGTCTCCATATGAGTGAAAAATTCTCGAGAGGGACGTTAAACAACAAAAAAACAAACAAACAAACAAACAAACAAACCCAACTTATTCCCAGTGAGCTGAGTTCAATAACTTGTACATACGTTCTACACGGTGTTTGACTGATTCCCTATCTATTTAAAATGATTGATGATAAGAAGAGGCTTTTCACCGAGGTGCTCTTTACTTGGTTACAAAATGATATATCTATCAAATTTGCAAAAAGAAAAATTAAAGAGAAATGCTGCACCAATTTTTTACTTGGAGAATGTTTAAAATATCCCTTTTAAAATATGGTTTCAGCTTTGAACAACCAGTATTAGCTCTGAATCATTTTAAATAATTTTTTTCAGAAAAAATGTAAAAACGTTTTCTTTTCGAATTAAATGCTTTCGAGTTTTATTCTGCCAATAAATGCAAAATATTATTATCTAATAAAAACATTTTTTGATATGTCAGATTTTTTTATTTTTAAGATTTAATTTATTAAAATAAAATATATTATTTATGGATATTTTCAAACGTACGGATAAAATCGAGATGTGTCAAGGTGACAAGAATGTCCCCTACTACTGACATGCAAGTTTTAAATACATGTACGTGAAAGTCTAAGAGTCTTACCAAGAATTGGAAATTAATCTATGAAAAATGTCAGCTTTTCTTCAGTTTTTTGCAGTGGTTCTATAATTTTTCTTATGAAAATCTACATTAAAACAAGGTTAAACGATCTTTAATAAGACCACACTATACAAAATAAATGAATCTGAGTTCCTAGCACTCAGTTTTACTTCAGCGTGTTTATCTCAAATGCATTTAAAAATGTCCCCTGCAAATTTTGTGATCATGCTAGAATATCAAAACTTGATTTTTTTGTAAAAGGAAACATATCAATATTGTTTGAATTATATTTGTGGAACAAATTTTGTCCAGATGCATTTACATAGACTTGCGCCACATCAAAAAACGGTAAGTAATACAAGATTATCTCTCATTAACCAATTTTCCTATGTACCATTTTATCAACCAATTATCTTTCTTTGTTATCACTAAATGGATTAACCTGCATGTGTGACTGTTAATCTAACCCCGAGTTCTTAGAGAGGGAATAAAGAGAGATACAACTGTAGCCGATCTGTAATTATGCTGTATCAGCGCCCTGATCTTTGTAGTAGACAAGAGTTTGGCTTGAGCGAAGAGGGCGATGAGAGCTGAAGATAATCCTCCTTGCTGCATCAGCTCTACTGTTCCTTGGAAAATTAGCAATGAAGGATTTATTCCTATCACTGGTAATCTAGATTTTCTCAAAAAGCGACCTACCCTGTTTTTACCATCATCGAGAAGGAAACCACACATCATTCTATTGATGATAAGACATTCCACAGCTTACAATACATACAGACAAACTGATGCTAATCATGGCCGTATATTGCTTTCAAAATACAAATTACTAATAGGCAGATGCAGAATGAACATTTCGCACAAGGACAGGGTAATATACATCCCATTCTGAGCCATATCACAGGGCATACCCTAGATTTACTTGATTACATGCAGATCAAAACGACAATAACAATTATAAGAAAAACATGTTCAATATAAATGTGCATGCAATTAATACTGGATATATTTCTTCAAGTCAATGCTAGTATTATTATTATTTGGTGTAATTTATACCCACTATCCTTTATATTTAATTTCTTGGCACAGAGTTAAATTACAAAATTTAGATAAATATATGTAGATGTGGAAGTATTATTCTACACTGTATATGTTGCTTTTCATTGCAGAGGACAAGCATAAATGAAGATAAGCGAACAAAACTGTCATTTACGAGCAAATATGATGCCCTAATTTTGTGTCTGTACGTCAGCACATCGGGACTTGCTTCTGATTAAGCCCATTGTGAATAATTTAACTGAACATATAGTGTTCTCTGAAATTATTGAGATTTATCTAAAATATTGGATTATGATTTTTACAATATTATGTCCCACTTGAAACAAAAGTAGACAGTATAATACTCAGTGTTTCAGAAGTATCACTAGTTTTGAAATCCTTGATAATAAATATCTACAACAGGCTTTCTGTTTTCAAGAAACAGTCACTCTGAACATTATCAATCGACAGAAATAATAAAATCACTGCACATAACATAAGAAACTTGCTAGTATTATCCTAAATAAAAGTTTAATAGCAAACTGTAAATATCTTATTCCTACAAATCTTTTTTTAAAATATGTCACAAAAAAATCTGAATAATTTCTGGGAATACATAATATAGTCATAAAATTATATAAGGCACATCTAATCACATTATCCTTCTTCTGTTTCTACACGGATGTATCAGCTAATCCCGACGGTTGATGTAAACTGACATAATGTATTTAAATAGCAAATAAATGTTTGCTCTCTCGACAATAAGAGCTGGCATCCACAGAGTTAGCAATATTTTATCATACTATAACACCATTAAGGTGAAACGATACGTTCCAGAAATATCTGTTTTTGTATCTCTTCGTTATATGCAAAATATATTTTAAAAAATAAGATTTTCATCCTCTTGTGATTCTAAACTGTTATCAAAATGTCTTGAAAAGAAAAACGCCAAAAATTATATGATAATGGCAATTCAAGTAATTTCCAATAGGATTATAAATAATGAATACCATCCACTAGAATCTTGCACAAATGTCTGGTAAGGTACCTCAATTTTTGTGAGTAAACATGTTTAAGTAGGAATACTTTATTGGCAAATTCTTGTGGAAAATTATACATTATTTAGGAACGTTTCGTCTGACCTTAAAAACTTTTGAGCGATCAGCAATTGTAAGTAGTATTATGTTTAAATTTGTTATAAGTCTGTTAAAAACCAAGTTATGTACAAAAGAGGTTATATAAACACGTACTGCTGCGTTAACTAAAACTTACTATCACTGGCTTCCAGAAAAGTGAGGAAACTTTTCAACATCTTACTACCTCTGAAAAATACTAAGTAAAATCATCAACGCATTAACCAATGGACAGAGGATATTATAGTTTATGACTGAGGTAACCTCATTAACTTTTACGCATTTTAGTTTTTACCCCAGCCATCTATGAAATTTTAAAAACTGTCGGAAACTATGCAAGTTCATTCATAAAATTAGCGTAAGCCTTCAGGGATTGACAGATGAAGTGTTGATGCTTTAAAATACGCTCAAACTTCAATGAATTTGCTTCTAAAATAGTTTTAAGGGGGAAAAAAACATCCGTTACTGTCTAAGTCTTTACTTACTTTAATGATTGTCAAGGTCATGTGTGATAAAAAGAGTAATTTGTAGGGATTTTTATGTTATGACGAAGTGGAGGAATTGTTACAAGCGCTGAATTACGAATAGGATAAACTCCCGCTTACTCATCTCTGTCGGCACGCAACACGTCCTATGTTAAACCTCATCATGCTTAATAGGTACCTCCTGATTTCAGTCATTGTATAAAATTATCAAGAAAGATTTTTGATTATAAAGTAATAATAATGAATAAATACTTTATTGGTTAGGTTTTTTAGATGAAAAAATTCGCAATACACCGTCCTCCATAATGGAAATGTGCATATGTTGATCAGTGGCGATGTTTATAAGATATCAAACATTCCGGAAAATATTTAACTTGCTATTCATTAAAGCCACATGTATACATTCCACAAAATATCCTTTGAATCAAGCTTGAGTTATCATTTTCCAAAAGCTGACGACAAGCAATTAGGAGCACAAAAGTCATTGATTACACAAATACAATGCCTGACATTTTTTAAACTTCAGGTAAAATTGAGGTCCATCTGCCATTCTGACTGCCTGTAACACTTTAGTTTCCGGATTCTTTCAGCTTTTGCAGTGCAATTTTACATCATAACTCTGCATGACTTCAAGAAGATTCCTAACCGACTCTGAGAACAGTAGGTCAAAAGATCAATGAAAGAAATTTAAAATTCATATATAGCATAAAATGATTTCGAGATAACAACTTTAGTTCGCTTTGAGCTTTTGCAATAAAACATGCAATATATATATATACACAAAACGTTTGTTATACCCTAGTGTCGGATTAAAAATCCATACTCACACAATCACGTTTTCAATTTAAAAAAGTCCAATGAAGATACTGCTAAATTGCCAATTCCTGCAATAAGAAAAAAGAGTTTATTTATAATTTGTTTATAATTTTAACACTATATTTCAGAAGAAGAAACAAAAGTTCGATGTAGACAAACATTTTCGGAGAAGTACTGTAGCAATGTCTGTGCTTTACACTTCCCTTGGAAAACAGGTTTCCAGTTCTGGCTAAATGACAAATACGTGTAAAAAGTTAAAATCCCATGAACAGAAACCAACACAAATGATTAAATTAGCCTTTCAAACAAAAAAAAAATCAAACATCGTCCATTTATTATCCATATTTCCCGCCAAATTGACATAAATCATATAACAACAACAATGCATTATCATGCATGCAACAAATCAAAATTCAATCCAACGTCCCTTGTAAATCTTTCACTGAAACACCATGCAAAAAGAGGAAATAGAAAGCATTCAGCTGTTCATAATTTCTATGCAATTACGTTTTTAGTCTTTAAAAAAAGACGGGATTAATTAAACAAAATTAAAATGCAATGTAATTCAAAAAACATTATTTCCATAGAACCCTGATCTTCTGCGATTAAAAGCAATTTTAAAAAAAAATTGTTCGACATTTAATTAAAGTATAGAATTATATACCTAAATATTGTTTTTAAAGCAAAGACATTGAATCTGTATCCCGTCCTTTGGGTATAAATTAGACCTACACCAAAATAGGACTAGTATTGACTTGATGTGTGGCAGTGTATCCAATGATATGAAATAAAACATAGAAGTGTCCGTGTTGACACTAAGAGATTATATCACACAGCTCATCAGTAAGACGTCAAAGAAATTACACAGTCATCGAAAAAATAAACTTAATACTTTACACAGCGAAATCGAGCTCCTTTAGATCGTGATCTTAAATGTCGTAATGTAACATTTGGTCTGATACAGATCATATAAAAAGAGCTTGTGTTAGATAACGTATCCGCAAATAAAAGAAATCGAATTCGTAAAATATTTAGGAAAATGTGGTCAAACGGTACACATCCATTCCCTTTGGTTCAAATGATAAGCTAACAGGTATAAGATCAGCGTAACCTGATTCTTGATCTGAATATAAAACATAATCCTTATCAAACCGTATACACGACATCTGTTCCATGAACGTAGTTTCAGAATGAAAACCTCTTTTTCCTCTAGTCTGAAAGGGAAAAAATATGAAAAATTTAAGGTTGATATCTTTAACTGAATGAAGCAACGATTACGTTCCTATAGTTATCTTGCCTAATATTATTTCAATTATTCATTTGATAAAAAGCTTAACTAAAAGGTAATTATGTTTCTATATTCCCCGGAAAAAATACTAGTCTTATCCACTGATATTATATACATGTACCTCCCTAGCAGGTAATGATGTTACATATTAATAGACTATTGCACCCACGATATGCCGTTCATCAGACTTCTGTATAGAATATTACAGAACCGATTCCAAGAAAAACAGAGTGAATATTGATATAGACAGAACACAAACGATAAACAACATCAAAGATTATAGACCCTTCAATTAATTAAGGAACACAGTGTTATAGACATAACATAAAACTATCTACATTCAATTTGTTTATATATATATATATATATATATATATATATATATATATATATATATATATATATATATATATATATATATATATATAATTTACTCCTTCAAATGTTAGTAGATCATAAAATTCTAATAATATTACAATTAACACCGTATATATTATATACCATCATTAGAATCGATGTTAATAAATTGTCAAATAATTAAAGACATGGACATCAATAAAAGAGTTCTTCTTTCTTTGAAGTTACAGATATTATCTAAATTCTAAACAACCGACAACAAACTTCTTACTAGTATTATGACCACGATAAACGTCTGCCATTCGTATCATAACGAGAAAAACATTAATTAACAAATTGGAAGAAAAACAAAGGTAAAAAGAACTCTGGCTAGACAATAGTTTTAGATAAGCATAAAAATTTAGGATAAGATGAAATAAGAATTGAGAATCACAAGTACAAACAGTATACCGTTTTGATAACACGATCTGTCTATAGATGAAATGTAGTTCGACTGTTGTGCAGCAAACAATGGAAGACAGATTCTCGTGGAGTTTTCTGAAATTGCCCAGGAAAAAAAATAGAAATCCAACAAAGTATAGGAAATGTTCTTGAAAACGTTTCCAAAGAGTATAACCGTAGTCAAAATTATTACGTAAACAACATAGCAATGACATTGTTCGTTACCAACTGCTGAGTAAAGCATTTCATTAGAAAAGCATAAAACTCCTGTTAGGATAATGAAATTAGAAATTAATCGTTATTTGAGGACATGTCGGGTGAATGCGGAAGGGGAAGACATTAGTAGTTTTCTTTCAAGGCCGGCGACGTGCGACATATTTGGATTCACACTTCAAGGCATCGCAAAGACAATGTGCCGAGAGAAGAACTGCTTGAAATTGTTCCTCTCTGTTAGTCGCTCAAAAGCAATTAGATTCACTGTAATACACAACAGCTCTGCTCTCCATATTTGGCGGGAGGTGTCGCTAAACTGTGTTGGGGGACGATGCTGAACTCTCGTGTTCCGCTTCCTGTTGCTATGTTATTGTTAGTATCTAATTAATATTGATAAGTCCCGAGTCTACCTGTGCGTAGGATTATGACATCATGGCAATACTTTCGTGCACCCCCTGTTCTTCAGCCTTCTATGACTCTACTTTGCGATCAGATTTCTTACAATCTGTGCATTTTTTCATCCCAGCGACCCCTAGCGGAGCACTGCTTGTATATAACGTATTCAAGAGTAGTATTTAAGCATTCATTCGGGCGTTCAAGTTAGTCTGCCTCAAGTCGAAAGCCAGTGCCGAGCTTTGGAATAAAACAGCTCTTTTTTTCGCAAAGTAGTTTTCTGTATTGTGTAAAACAGAATGATGGATTACGATTCCGATATTTCCACTAAAGTTGTGAGGGTGAACCGCACCTACAACGTCTATCGCGGTACTTCCCCATCCACACAAAACAGATTAGAGGTGAGTCTGGTGTGTCCCCCTTGTCGTCTGCTTTGTCTTTTGCCATTTGTGCTTTGTAAATGATCTTTGCTGGAAATAAGAACTTTACTGCTTTTTCATTAAATTGTATCTGCAAATCTTCAACCAATGCCAATTCTTTGCTGTGCTTACTTGTTTTATCTTATAAAGAAAATGAATTACTCAACAGCCAAAATGTTTGGGAATTATCCTCTTTCATATTGGATTGTTTCAACTTGGAAATAAATGAACATTTTGGAAATGCAGCATTTCTATTGCTTTGCAAAGAAAAAGAGTCTGCTATTTGGGATTTAAAGCGTGAACAATACAGCTTTATGGGAAATATTCGCCCAGTTGGATTAGCTGCAGGATAAACAATCTTGATTCTAGAGTTTAGTGCATGACACAGCTTAAACTCAGCTGCAGATGCTGTTGTATTGCGCGATACGAAGATAATAATCAGACGGTTAGATAAGGGAGCTGCGGGATGAACCAGTCTGAGTCCCATTAACATTCCTCATATCTCATCCTTTTATATACCATTATCAGCTGCAATGGCAATTGAAATTCTCTAACACCGAAAAGAATTTTATCTTGGCTATGTCGGCTAATACTTGTATTAATGTTTCTTAAGATGAAACACATCAAAACTCATTCCACAAATGAAATTTTAACTACAGATAACAGAAATCAGGAAAATCTGAGAAAGACATTAACTTCATTCATAAAACAGACAAACATTGGGTGTAGGATATTTGCTGGTATCAAAGAAAAAAATTGGAAGAATTTGATAATTTCATAACAACAGTTCATCAATGCAAATACCAAGTGTATGACGCTTGTTTTCGTTTCATAGCAACGCTTTCTAATATGTTTGTTCTAAAAATAGATGCACCTTGTAAGGAGAAGAGGTTTAGCAAACTTCAAAAGATATACGAAAGTTGTCATGGAAACTTACAAAAAAACTAAAACAAACTTCTGCAAGCAATACAAATTCCCAATTTTTCTTTAAAAAGTTTTGAAAACAAAAAGAAAACGTATGATTCCTCAAAACTTTTTTAAAGTCATCTACAAAAACACTCAATAAATTGTTCAATTTCAATTAAAAATTAAATAAAATTCTGGAATGATTCCTACTGTTTCATTTGGTGATAAAATGGATTGGTTATTACATTGTTTACTTTTACTAGACAGTTGTTCGCAAAGAGACTCGGGTACTCAATACCGAGAAGCAATTGTTCGAAGCCGAGGAACAGAGATTTTTGGTATCGTATTTAGTGTGTGCCGGTGTCCCGTGTGACATTTCTTCTCCCATTTTCCAAAGGTCCCCTCACCCAACACGTAGTACCGTTAGCTAGAGAATCCAAGACGAAATAAATGACAAACCCATTTCACAGAAATTTCGATTTTAACCAACTCACATCAAAGCATGAGCACTCTTTCTGTCAACACTCAACAGTCAACCAGTTTTGACCACATGCACAAAGGGGAAAAGAATTTGTTTCAAATAAATTTAAAAGTCCAATAAAGAGTTTTAAAAATAAAAAATAATGGGATATATTCATATATTAGAAAATTCATATCAATTCTTAGTATATTTAGAAGATTTAGTCATTTTAGAATTGCACGATAGAAATAGTATTTGAAAAATCAAATCAAAGGATTAATTTCTAATTAACAAAATTGTTCAAATTCGTCTCACGATTTTTTTTTTCAAGTATACATTTGCCAAATTTACACCATTATTTCATTTTAGGCACGCATCCGGGAACTGGAAGATGCCCTTGACGGAGAACGCGACACCAGACTGAGAGTAAGTTGATGCTCAAACTATTGCCTGTTGTAAAATAAGCATTTACACGGAAAAGACCTTTTTTTTTCTTTTCCCCTCCCCATCGTAAATATATTCTCCTCCATGATGCCGCAGAAGCATGTTTTCTTTTCGTTCTTTCTTCAGAAAGATAGAACCTTATGCAATCAATTAATCGCTGTAAATTGATGTGTTTAGCAGATTCACGCATTTCTGTGTGTCGGTGAAAAATTGCTGAAAAAGCTTTGGCTTCAGTTCAAAAACCACGCGTTCCCCAGCAGATGACAAAGAAGTTCTGATGTACACACGACAAAACAATGCTTTGTCTATTTGTAGAACAGAAAGCATTTAGCAAACTTTTGTCTAATACACGGAAGATAGAGGCACGTGCGCGCTTGGCATCTGCTATCTATATATGTACACATGAGGAAGGGAAATTCAATCCAGACGATAGCGCGCATTCCTCCTTGCCGCGCTGTGATTGATATCATACATTATGGATGCTGCTCCTTGTCAAACATTGATTAAGAAAATACCTTGCCTAAAATCGTTCAACTTTTACATATACACCTGTCTGTATTTCTCAACCAGGCCTCAAATAACTACTTCCTCTATTTATACTTACCTATACACACACGTGTCCAATTAATGATTATTATTGTACCAAGAAGGAAAACATAGACGCCATGGAAGAAAAAATAAAATCCAGCAAAGAATAAAAAAACACTTACCTTACTCACACCGACTCTATTCTTATACAAAATTCAATGTAAGAAATCTTGAAAATAGAACTCAACGAAAAATTTTTCAGAACGCCTCAGTGAAAGGTATTCCTCATACAAATAAGAATAAACAACAAAACTGAAATGCAGTGAAATTCTTATTCAAATTGTAGTTCGAGAAACAATGTGCCGAGCTGACTTTCCAACTGGACCAAATGTCCGACCGACTTGAGGAAGCTTCTGGGATGTCATCTTCACAGGTACTCGTCATTTTTAACACTGAATTTTCTGTGGAAATTTTCATTATTCTGACTTCAGAACTCTTCAATGAAACCTTTTTGTCATTGTATTTTTTTTAGTTGGACATCAACAGAAAGAGAGAATCAGAATTAGTCAAGCTCCGCAAGGACTTTGAATTAGCCAATGCCCAGTTCGAGTCAGCAGAAGCCAGCATGCGCAAGCGTCACCAAGATGCTCTTAATGATCTCGCTGACCAACTTGAATACATGACAAAAGCCAAGGGCAGGTACGTGTCTTTTTGCGCTTTGCTCGCCTTTTCCCTCTTTAATTTAAGAAATGAAAGTCAATTCTGAGTGTTACTTATCACCTAATATACATCTATGCTTAAAATGCAATACCGTGTGCTGTGGCTTTATTCTTAAAGACAAGACAATGCTTGGCTTACAGGGCTGAAAAAGAACGAGGACAGCTTGTGGCCGAACTCGATGGCTTACAGGCCCATTCTGAGGGCCTTCAGAAAGCCAAGGTGCGTAAACACTAACAAGTAGATTTAGATTTAACCCTTTTTACCTTGTAGAGTAGAGAAAGAGAAGAGCCAACTGGTCATTGAAATCGACATGATTCAAACTGAAAACGAGGGTCTCAGTAAAGCCAAGGTTTGTGACGGTGGTGGTAAAGATACATGTAACTGTTTGAAAAGATACATGTAACCGTTTGAAAAGATACATTAACTGTTTGAAATTAGAAATCATTTCCTACTTTGATGTGACTGGTGTTGGGTTTATACATCCTCCATTAAAAGCAAAAATGACTAATTATAGGCCTCTGCCGATGCCAGGATCGATGCTTTGGAAGGATCTGTATCCAGACTGAAGGCTCAAGTAGATGACCTTACCCGCCAAAATAACGATCTCAATGGCCTTAAGGGTAGACTTACTCAGGAGAATTTCGATCTTCAACACCAGGTGCAGGAATTAGATGCCGCTAATGCCGGTCTCGCCAAAGCCAAATCTCAGCTTCAAGTTCAGTTGGACGACTTGAAGAGAAACTTGGATGACGAGAGCAGGGTATGAACAATTAGAAATTTATTCATGGAAACGATTACGGTATACTTTAAAGACAAGGAAATATACTTCATGAAGAAGCGTTGAGTTCACTTGGAAATTTTTTCTTGCAGCAACGTCAGAACCTGCAGGTTCAACTGAGCGCCCTGCAGAGTGACTATGACAACTTGAACGCCCGTTATGAGGAAGAATCTGAATCCGCCTCCAACCTCCGTGCCCAACTCAGCCGTGTCAATGCCGAGTTTGCCGCCCTCAAGACCAGATTTGACAAAGAACTTCTGGCCAAGACCGAAGAAATGGAAGAAATGAGGTATTTAACTCATTTCTTACTGAATTTTAAAATTGAAATGAATTTTACCTTATGTCTAAAATATTGACGTCGGTTATTGCAGACGCAAGTTGAGTGTCAGGATCCAGGAATTGGAGGACCTTCTCGAACAGACCCGCCTCAGATGCACCAACCTCGAGAGGACCAAGTCCAAACTCACCGCCGAGCTCAAGGAAGTCACCATTGAACTCGAGAACGTAAGTTTACCCCTAGTTTTTTCGAATGAGGAACAATGTCGCTGAAAATTGTTTTCTTTGATATTTTTTGATGAAGTTATTGTTGAACTGATAATAAACATTCCCGTTTTCAGTGTCAAATTATTGTCCAAGACCTCACCAAGAGAAACAGACAGCTGGAGAACGAAAATGCTGCCCTTCAAAAACGTGTCGATGAACTTTCCGCCGAGAATGCACAACTCCGCAATGACAAACACGCCCTTGAACAGGAAGTCTATAGACTCAAGGTTGCCAATGCTGAGCTCGCCGAGAAGAATGCCAACCTCGAGAGAGAAAACAAGAGCCTTTCTGGTATACAAAGCATTATACAACAGCAAATGACCTTGCTTTAATAAAACGGAATTATCTAATTAAATC